AGAAGGAGCCCTTCTTCCACGGGCAGGACAACTACGACCAGGTCTGTGGGCCTCAGCCTGGGGGGGCGGGAGGGGGGGTGGGACGTTTTTTGCTTTGTTTTAACTATGACATAGTGATAAAATGCACAAGCTCTGTATTTTTGGTAAATATTTTGTATTTTAACTATGAAAAAGAGATGCACCTTATGCCTTTTTGGTTGCTAAATGCTCCATTCTTTCTTGTTTTTGCATCATGCATGAGGAAAAAGGGCGAGCAACTTAAAAAAAAATGTGTTGAAGCAATTTAGAAAAGCAGTCAAAGCCTCAGAATCTGAGCCGGTTCCACCCAGAAACGTGCACATAGATCAATAAATTAATAATTTTTTGGATGAGGACAAACGCATAAAATGAGACATTATTTCATATTTCTGCCTTAGTTTTTAATTGTGTTAATTCAATCATTTGTTCGAAGGAAATTTCTCCTTTTATCATAAATAAAAAGTTAAACAGAATCTCTTAAACAGTTGAATACATGAATGAAAAATATCAAATCGGAGTCCGAGTAACTCTGTTTTTGTTCATATTATACAGAAAACAGAAAATTAAACTATTTATTTAGGTAGTTTTGCTTATTCCGTCTTTTTCTACAGGGCAAAACGTGTCATTTCTTTGTGTTTCAGCTCCAAACATTCAGACTTTGAGCGTTTTTCCAACTTTCTGGAGCCTCTCAGAGCTTTTGGGTCTTTTCTTGTGTGTCTTCCAGCTGGTGCGGATCGCCAAAGTCCTGGGCACGGACGAGCTGTTCGGCTACCTGCGCAAATACCACATCGAGCTGGACCCGCGTTTCAAAGACCTGCTCGGGCAGTAAGTCCCCCCCCCCCGGCCCTGCTGCCCTCTGATTGGTCGGCTTCAGACCAGCTGGGAGTCAGTCGTTCCAGCATTTTGGCTCCGAAACTGAAGGAAAGGGAGACATCTGAGCCTCCCAGACGGGTCGGGGGGGGCTCTTTAGCTGTCTATTTATGGGCTGCATCCCAAACATGGCGGCCATCTTTAAAGCCGCCATTTTGGATCAGTGGGAAGAAGGTCAGAGAAGATTCTGGACCTCATTAAGCCTCTCTGGGCCTCATTGGGCTGCTGGTTTTAGAGATTTCCTGCTTTTACACCTGCTTCCCGTCTCCAAAGAGGCCCAGAGAGGCCTGTGGTTCTGCTGAAGTTCTGTGTGGTTCTTTGGGCCCAGACTGAGTTTCTGTGTGGTTCTGTGAGGTTCTGTGTGGTTCCTCGGGCCCAGACTGAGTTTCTGTGTGTGGTTCTGTGCAGGCAGAGCAGGAAGCGCTGGGAGCAGTTCATCCAGACGGAGAACCAGCACCTGGTGGGTCCGGAGGCTCTGGACCTGCTGGACCAGCTGCTGCGCTACGACCACCAGCAGCGTCTGACGGCGGCCGAGGCGCTGCAGCACCCCTACTTCTGTAAGGACCCCCCCCTGTGTGTGTGTGTGTCCCCGGGCTGTGTCTAACCCCGGTCCCTCCCGCAGACCCGGTGGTGAAGGAGCAGTCTCTGACCAACTCTGACAACAACACGGTTTCCAGTGGCAACAGCACGGCGCGGTGAAAGGTGAGCAGGAAGTGATGTCGTCTGTGAGGTCGGAGGTCAAAATACGAGTTGAATGTCAATATTTCTGTGGAAAGAAACTGAACCGAGTCGTCTGGCTTGCTTTTTTTTAAGGGTTCCAACTTTTTTCTCTTTTTAAATTCAAATTTTTATCGAACCTTTTAGGCACAAATGTACGGAACAGGCGGTTAGCTGCGACAAACGGCACATTTCTGTGTCACAAAAGGCAGAAAATGCCAAAAAAGTTCATAATAATATCAGCCAAACATGCGTCCCATCCGTCCTGTTAGTTCCACCTTAAAGCAGATGTTTACCTGTTGGAGTTCCACCTTAAAGCAGATGTTTACTTGTTGGAGTTCCACCTTAAAGCAGACGTTTACCTGTCGGAGTTCCACCTTAAAGCAGATGTTTCTCTCTTCCAGCTGTGGAGCGGCGGGCGTTGGCGCCTCGGTCTGGACGTGTTGTACAGCGGCGACGGATCAAAGTGACCCCGGCGTCACACACTCACACACACACCCACAGACACGCACACGCACACACTCCTCTGTGTCAGTCTGTGATTGGCCCGTTCTGGTCCCCCGTCCGACAGCCTGGCCAGCGACCTCGAAGCTGCCCCCCCCCCTCAGCCCCTCCTCTTT